ACCCTCATCTTTAAAAAAGAAGAAAGAAAGAAAGAAGGAAATAGAGTGAGTGTGTGTCCTAAGTATGTGATTTGAAAATATTTAATTCAATACTTTCTCTGCACTTTTTCCAAGTGAGAAGCAGGAATCTTTTTCTAAATATTAGAATTTTAATACTAAATTTCTATATGTTAGAAATAACATATAGAAATTTAGTATTTCTCATAACAGCAGCATTATGTAGTAGAAAGGAATTTAGGAGCTAAGTTAGGGGAGCTGGGTCCATGCTTTTGTTGAGGTGCTCACTGGTTATTTGGTGTTGAACAACACTCTGAAACACTTGGATGAACACTCAGTTTACCAGTTAGATCCCCTCTGCATTTCCCAAGTGCCTACCACCTTGTTCAAGAGGAATTTTCAGAATTTGTTGATTTCTACCCTGTGTTCTACATCTTTTCTTGCTTAGGTTGTTAACTTCATAAATGTCATTCTTAACTTCTGGTTCTATGGTTATTATTATTATGGACATTTGAAGTGTAGATATGGGCTATTAATCTGTATGTTTTCTTCATGTTCAGACGCAGGTGCACATCTAACTGAAATCCTGGATCCCAGTATCTCACCATCTCCAAACTCTAGCCCTCCTAAGCTTCCTCAACTCATAATGATATTACTCTCCACCAAGTTGCTCAGGTCAAGATTCTGGGTATCACATTTGATTCCTTTCTTCTCTTCAGCCCTGTATTCAAGTGCACCAGCAAAGTCTATTGTCCTACCGCCCCTCCACCCCCAAACAACAACAACAACAAAATCCCTGGTTGAACTGAAGCTGTCTTGCTCCAAGCCACTAACTTCTTTTGCCTGGTTGCACTCTCCACACTCACCCATCTTGCCACTTTTATCCTTGACCTTCAAAGCAGCAAGGATTATTTTTTAAAATACAAATCAGACAGCATTGAAATTCTCCTTAAAAATCAGTTCCATTCAAACCCCTTGATAAGACCTCAAAGACTCCCTATGCCATTGCTCCAGTCTCTTGTGATCCCATCTTACAGTCCTTTTCTGTGTTCCTTGAATATATAGTCTTTGCAAGAGCTATTTTTTTTTCTTCCTGAAATACCTTCTTCACCTGACTATCTCCTTTTTATCATTTGGGACTCAGCTTAATTTTTACCTCCTCAGAAAGACTTGCCTTAAATATGATAAGTGAAGGAATTCTCACTCCCCTTACCACTTTTGTTTTTCCTCCTAGAGTCTATCACCATCAAAATCACTTGTATTTGCTTGTTTTTACCTTTTGTCTCCTATCACTGAAAGCTCAATAAGAGCAAATTCTTGCCTGTCTATTCATAGCACTTACATACCCAGGATATAGTGTGGGTGTTTTGTGAATATTTCTTGAATGACTGTAAGGGTCCTTTCCTGTTAATGACATGGAGAGTTATAGTACCAATACTACTGGAAATAATTTGTAGACACATAAAAGTCAAAGCAACTAAAATCAAAGTGGCATTTAGTAAATGTAGATGATAAATAAACTGAAAATTAACATATTATTTCTGAAATTAACAAAATTTGGCCACAGGAAATTTAGCATTCATAGAGTTAAATATTATTACAAACTTAATAGTGTTAAATTTAATTTAATACAATTAAAACTAACAACTAAAACCACAAGAAAGTAATATTATTAAAAGTAATACTCTTAGAAGATAAAATATAATGGTTAAATTTAAAATAAAAAATAAAATTTTACTGTCAAAGTTGCATAAAAAAGAATATATCCAGTGGAAAGTATTCAGAAAAAATTAAAATGGAAAACAAAATATTATACAACTGTTTGGGATAGATTAATTCTTCAATGAATTGTTTCAATGTATAGAAAACACATTTTTAATGTTTTACTAATGTTTGTATAATTTTTATATAGGTTTATATTAAAATATAAAGATAAGAGAAACAAGATAACAATATCTTGTAAACTTTTTCTTTAGTCTATTTCCTTGATCAGTTAGAAAACTTAAACAATCTTAGAATTGTTAGTAATTATGTGGCTGTATAACCAATGTGATCCTGCAATCTGTACAAGTGGAAAAATAAGAATTAATACCCCATTTGAATCAAATGTTTGATACATCAAGATCATTGTAATGTTTTGAGCAACTAATAAAAAAATTAAAAGAGAAAAAAAGATTTTCTTTTAATTAAGATTTGCAAAACTTCTTACTTTGAAATAACTTTAATTTCCAGAAAACTTACAAAAGTAGTAGAGTTTCCATGTCCCCCGTTATTCAGCCTCTGTTAACAACTTATATGACCATTATGTAGTTACAATATCAGATAATGAAATACCAGTATAATACTATTAAATTAACTGAAAACTTTATTTAAACGTTTTCCCCCTAATGTCCTCCTATTGTTCCAGAATCTAATTCAGGACCTCCCTCTGCATTTAGTTGTGTGTCTCTTTATTCTTCTCCAGTCTATTATAGTTACTCAGTCTTGGTCTTTCTTCCATGACCTTCCCACTTGTGACAAATGCTGGAAGCTTATTTTATAGAATGCGTCTGAATCGTCGTTTTCCTGGTGCTTTCTGATGATTATATGAAAGTCTGCTTTTCTCCCAAAGATACCCTATTGATGATGCCATCTTCTCATGGGCATCATACTGTGGGTTTATGATGACTCTTCATCTCAGTATTAGTGATCCCCACCAAGTTCTTAAGAGGATGGTGGTTCTGGAGACTAGTAACAAGAGGAACCTTGGTCTGTCTGTACTATGGATGGAGAGTCATGAAGAACATGCAAAACCCTGCTTGCCTGTTATGTTCTTTTTTATTTTTTATATTTTTGGTACTGGTAAGCAAACCCTCTGAGCTACATTCCCAGCCCTTTTTAACATTTTATTTAGAGAAAGGGTCTCACTAAATTGCTTAGGGCCTAGCTTAATTGCTGAGATTGGCTTTGAACTCACTTGATCTTCATGCCTCGACCTCCAGGATTATAGCTTCAGGGATTACAGGTGCACACCACCATGCCTGGCTCTGTTACATTCTTTACCCTCAGTAAAATGAGTCAATTTTTAAGTTTTTTGATATTATCCAGTTAGGTGAATATTACTTTAATGAAAAATAGACAGGGACAAATACTTTGGATTGTTTTGGAGTCCCACAGACATTGAAGTACTTCAACAAACTCTAGTTTTATCAATAAACTCTATTTATTTTTATCATCAAAATCATTACTTTTTCTTTCTTTTTTATCTCTGTTATTATCTTAATAACTGAAGATTTCAATGCTTCTTTTCAAAAAGACTCAGAAAGGGGAAATGAATATAAAATGCTATATTACTCATCTATTTTGGATCTTTCTTCTTCCTGTCATTCCTTCCTTCCTTCCTTATGGGTTAGGTCAAATAATAATGATAGATACATTTTCAATTTCATATTTTTTCTTATCATTTGGTGTAAAATAGAAATATAGGATATAATGAATATGGACAATTGAATTATGGTGAAAAACTGACCACAGTTTTCTCCTACTGGGATTCCTCACAAGGACATACTTATGGGTTGATCTCTTAAAGTAAACACTGGCCTTCTCTTGGAGAAATGAAAACAACAACAACAACAACAACAATCCCCTTGTAGAGGATGATTAATAATTTTCTTTTAACTTGAAATGAATTCAAGGAGTTTTAGTTCAGGTTAGGAAGCCAGTTGCCTAAAAAATAGGCTTGAACCTGGCTTTGAGTAGGCCTGTATTCCTAATGTTCTTTTTACCATGATGCAGAAAGTAGAGTTACTGTGCGTAGCTCATTTACTCTCAGTATGTCTAACATGGAAATGATGATACATTTTTCACCTGTTAGGCTTTTGTCGGAATGAAATAGTGAGGACTTTCTGGGAATACAAAGATAAGAGATTGCCTTATCTATAGCTCTGTCATACTCCCTGGATTGCCCTCTTCTTTTGATGGCAAATGAAGAAGTTCAATACCACCTGGCTTGATCAAAAGAAGCAAAAAAAAATTTTTTTTGGCTCATTTAACTTAAAAGTTCAGGAGTTGGCTTATCTAGTAATTTAAATAACTCTTTCAAGGATTTCTCTCTCTGCCCAAGTCTTAGTTCTCTCATCCTTGGATATGTGTTCAGTCAGGTTTGCTGTTTGTGACAAAATGACTTTCTGGCTCATATTCTATAATTTTGGCAAGCACAACTGATTTTGTGCCCATGTCTGAACCAGAGGGAAAGATCCCCTGACTGGTGTGGCCTGAGGTGAATGCTAATGCCAGTTCCACTTAAACTCTACTTAGGAACCAAGTGGAAGAGAGTGGTTGTGCAATGGAGAGTTGAGGTACTATTAGAAGGAGAACTCCAAAGGATGGAAAGTCTGCTGGGATGGAGAAAAAATAGCTCCTGTCCACCAGGCCCTCCTTAACCTGTTGAACCTCTTTCCACCTATTGAAATTCTATCAATCCTCTAAGGATTGTCTTAAGAGTCTCCCTTTGAAGTCACTCCTGATCCTCTAGCCAAGAATCATGTCTTCCCCTTTTGTGTTCTTTAGCACTTTGTGTCTTTTTTTTTTTTTTGGTGCTTATTTTAGTAAACTCTATGTTATTGGTACAAGTTCACTTTTTAGATTTTCTATTGTCAATTTTTGAGGGCAGATACAGTATCTTACTTCTCTTTAAATCTTCAACAGGGCCCAACAAATGCCTGATTTATAATAGACTATCAGCAAATATTTATTAAACTGTCTTCTTAATGTTGTACAAGTTATGAATAATGGAAAATAAACAAGACGAGATAATTTTATTATGTACATAATTTATTAACTGATTAATTTATGAAAAGACAAACAGAAGCGATGTTAACTATTCTAAGAAGCCATTTATGTTTAAGAAATAAGAACTGCGGCCCCAGGAGAGTGATCAACCATTGTGAGGACTTACTGGGAGGGGGTGCTGCAGGATCTACTCTTCATTCACTAACTCTTTGCCTTCCCCTTTTGTTCTTCAGTTGTCTGGGTTCACATCGAAGCTTGTTTCAGCTATCCAGAATGCCCATAAGAATTCTGCTGGATCTGGAAGAGAAAAAGGACTGATGGTGTTAACCCAACCCATTTTGATTGAGACCTACACAGGGCTGATGTCATTTATTGGAAATCGCAACAAACTTGGCTATTCTCTTGCCCGTGGGAGTGTTGGTTTTTGAGACTCTTTTTGGTACATTATCCATAGATATGCCATTATTGAAGATTTTGCTTCAGTCCACTGTATTTTTAGATAGAAACAGTTAGAATTTTTAGATAGTACTATATGACTTTGAATATTTAATATTTCAAGAAAACTGAAAGCTTGATTGACTGGATAGATACACATTTCAGGTGTATCTATTTTACTAAATTTTATTAAAATTGGAAAATAAATATTGCTGAACCCAAGTAATGTTATCAAATAAGTGCCTGATCATAAACTCTGAGCAGACTCTGGTTTCTTTTTTCTCCTGCTTATTATGTGTAGGCATTTGCCAGGTTCTGGTCTTCACCCTTCTGATCCATATGTATTCCCCATTAGTTCTCCCTAGCTCTATTATTGTAGCTATCACTTTTATGAAGATGACTTCCACATCCTTATCCATACCCCCAGTATTTACTCCAAGATTCAGTTTCACATTTCTGTTTGCCAATTGTGTACATATCAGTGTTCCAATGGCCCTTCAAATTTAGCATGTTTATGGTCCCATTTCTCAATCACTGAAATCCATCAGTTTTCACTTGTAAAAATGCATTCCATATCGTACAACATCTGTATGTGGTTTGGCCTTGTATCCCGATATCCAGACATTCTCCTTTCACAACTGTTCAAATATTCCTTCTCCTTTCCATTCTCATAGTGATAGGACTAGATCAAGATTTTAATTATGCTCATATATGATTGTTACAATATCCTTTAATTGGGATCCCTATTCCAAGGTTGTTTCTATCCTTTATGTGCTTGGTTGCCAGATTCTGAAAGCACAGTTTGATTGTATCACTCCCTGGATTAGGAATTTTCAATGACTCATCTCTCTTTGCATATTTTTTGTTGAAATGTTTTTATTCAGTAATGGATCCTTTCTTCAAATAAAATCTCCCATAGGAGCCCCTAAACACCTCAAAAAAAAAAGTAGGAACTCTGTAATTGAAGTGCATATGGGAATGTCATTGGTCTCTCACTGTTTAAGTCTCAGATTGCTCCATTTGGGATTGATTACCATAAAATTATTACAATAAACTTTTTGCCTTTCCCAGGACCCAATAGTTATTGCTAATGATCAGTTAATTACACCCCCCACACACACACACACACTTTGGGAAAAAGCTGAAGCAATCTTATGAAACCATGTCCATGGATCTTAGAGTGTTTTGAGAACCACATTTTCAAAAACATTATCCTAACTCACTTTGTTCCCATTACTCTTATTTTTCATTTCTTCTTTGTGTCTCCATAAGTTAGATCTAATTTTGAACAATCCAGGAGAGGGTTTTTTTTTAATTTTAAATCTTACTTTATTTAAATACATTTAGAAAAGCATCTTTTTGAATATTGATTACCATAAAATTATTACAATAGACTTTTTGCCTTTCTCAAGACCCAAAGTTGAGATATCTTGGTTGACATTCAAATTGAAAACTCCAGCTAAGTTTTTTGTTTGTTTGTTGTTTGATTTGGGCTTGTATCACTTATTTCTAAGTCTTAAAATATCTTACTTTCTCAATTTCAAATATTTATTCTCTGATACATTTACAAACAACAATTTGATGTAAGCCTTTAAAACCTCAACTTTGAATATCCCTTATTTTATTTTGTCTCTTTTTTCTTCCATTAATATATCTGTCCTTTCCTCTTGTCCCCCTTTACATTACTCACTCCCTCCACAATATTAACAAATACTGTTATAGTCCCCAAGGCAAGGAACTTCTATTCAGACTGTGAAAGGAAATGTTGAAATCCTTAGCTGTCCTGTCAACAGTAGTGGGATGAAAAGTCGTTAGATTATTTTGGCAGTGGTTCTGAAGCAGGCATTATTGGCAAATTATTGTAATATTGCTCCCTGAAAATCCCCATATGGCTCAAGATAGTGGCATTTGCTGGAAGAAACCTTTGAAATGTCCAGCACATTCTTCTGAGGATTGCTCTGACAATTGACTTCTCTCTGCACATTTGTCCCTTTTGTAACTGAGGCCAGCCTGTTCCCTGATATCCTCCTAAAGGACACAGTGTAGCAGCATCAACAGGAACTTTGCTTAGAAAGGATGAAAGGAGGGAGCTACTTCTTATTCTTGAGACCTAGTCTGTGACAATAGGATAAGCGTTTAATGGAACCAAAACTGTTTCATGTGAAGAAGTGAACTCAGAGTTGACATGAGAACTCTTTACCCTTCATGGGGACTGCCTGCCAGATAAGATATTCCATTAACTGATAAATGGGACCTAGAAGGCAGGATTATGACCAGAGTGTGAGAGGATTCAGGAATTAGGATAGCAGTTCAAGATAAGAAGAACTTCTTTACAGTTATAAGTGTCCACTGATGGAAAGGGTTGCTTTGTGAAATACTGAGCCCCCCTTCACTCAAATGTACCAGAAAAAAATAGATAAAGGGGATATTATAAAAGGCATTGCTGTATTGTAACATTTGGAGAGAAGAAATAATCATTTAAGGCTAGTGATCTTATAATTCTCCAAATAATTATTGCTAATGATCAGCTAATTACACCCCAAACACACACACTTTGGGAAAAAGCTGAATCTATCATATGAAACCATGAAAGATTAACTTTTCTAATGTTTAATTGTGTCTTCCCCAATTTGGAGACAATGATACTATTTCTGCCTGCTGCATAAAGATCTTTTGAGGGTTCAATAAAAGGAAGACAAATTCTTTTATTAAATATAAAACACTGAATACCTTTTTATAGAGTGTTGTGACTTCAGTAGCATCAAATGGGACAAATCCAAGGCAACTCAATTCACTTCCCTCCAAGAGTTGTTTCTTGGTCACCATGGACTTTCTCATTTGATGCTTGGTGTTTTCACTTAGCTTCTTTTTCCTTATGCACAATTGGCACCAGAATCCTGGGGACCTTCATGTATATCTGAGTTTTTTCAGACTGATATCTGAAATGTCCACTTATATTTCCCAAAGGAATACTGTAAGTTTAACAATGAATAGAATAGACAGGAGGCATTAAGTACTATCACCACAAAAGTGTCAAGGTGAATGTTCCTCATTATTGGATCTTTATTTCGTTCAGTAATTCTCACAAACTTTTTAATAAGCCTCCTTTCAGAAATGACATAAGTATATCCACTGACTAATTCCTCACAGTCTTTTGATACATCTTGGTCTGTTTTGATGGTTAGGAAATTCTCCTTGTGTTGACTTGGAATCAATAATGTCTGTCTGCCATCTTTTCACTTAAAAAACAAAACTGTTATGGATTAGAGTAAGGTAAGCTTGGGTTTTCATGTCAAGATGTGGAGCATTAGGTTACAGAGGCAAGACTGATGAATTCTCTAGAGTTTATAAGAGGGGATGTCAAAAGTCAGAATGCCTCACCTTCCAGAGGCCAATCAAGCTTCTTCTTCTGCCTGACTTTTGGCTGTCTTTTAAGTGGAAAAGAGTGGGTGATTTGTGAGTTGGCTGTTTTTGCATCATTCGCCTTAAGGTTCACTTTCCTTGTCCCTTTGCTGTGCTGTTCTAAGGAAGCCAATTCTCAGAGCCCTGGGGCTAAGATAGCATGGAAACCACCTACTCCAATGCTTTCACTTCACAGACTATGAAGCAAAGGCCTAGAAACTAGGAAGAAATTGGTAAAAAAAAAAAAAAAAAGATGGCAAATTCTTGGCAATGTTGATATTAGAGCAAATCTCCCAATTCCTGTTTTTGGCACACTGCGCTTTCCAATATATCATCTCCATTTGCAGAGGCCTGTCATCTGAATCAGTGTATCATATTTGCTGGGTTAATTCTAAAGTGAGAAAACAATAGATAATAGTTGTTAGGGGGAATTTCCAGAATTTATCTTTCTTTTCTTAAAGGCTAAGGTCACTCATAGACCTCTCTGATTTCCCATCTGATCAAAACGCGCAAACAAAGCGGCGGAAGCCAGCAGTGCCAACAGATATTTTGTTAGGCCGCTTTACCTCTGCCTGGCATTTTGTGGGGCAGGAGAGGGAGGGCAAAAGTATTAAATTTAGGCTTAAAAGCTCCTCAGAAATTCTTTACACACAGGAGACCAAGTTGGAGAAAAGAAGATGACTTGTGCCAAGGGGAAGAAAAAGAGAGGCTAATGCCTGTGGTTTTCAAAGGTTAATAACAGCAAAAAAAAAAAAAAAAAAAAAGTCCAAGTATTTGCTCAGGGATGAATGCTCGTTGGCTCTCAGCCAACAATTATACAAGGGCTTGTGCCCACATCCTGTAGCTGTGGTTTAGGGACGCTGCTCATGAGTGACTTCTTATGCTTAGTGGCAGGAAACTTTAGTCACTGATGTGTAAACCCTCCTTTGGTCTGCACCTCCCACAATGTGCTCTGAAGGCAGTCAGGGGGCCAGGCCTCCCGATTTCCTTGCAGATACCATTCCCCAGAAGCTAATGAAGAACTTCATTTGGGATTTTGGTAATGACCAAGAATCAATCAATATTTATTCCACCTAATTTTGGCAACCCCTTAGAATAATTCTGCAGCCATTGATCCCAGATGTGGTTTTGTTGCTTGAGCAAAGCACCTGGTATGCAGTTATTGATTTGCTATATTTTTGTACCCTCTCCTTTCCTTTCCTTCCTTTTCCTTCTGTCCCCTTCCCCTCTTCCCCCTTTTCTTCCTTTCCTCTCTCTCCTTATTATTAAGACCAGCAGAAGCAGTTAGCTTTTAGCTTAAAGTATCAAAAACATAATCAGGGTTACATCAACCTTTCAACCCTATGCTATATTCTAGTTAGCAGGGAACATGTTGACCTCTCCAGTATCCCACTGGTTCATTTTAATTGCTTATATCATGTTGACTGATCCAGGTAAATAGGAAGTAATAGCTATTAATAACAATTGTGTAACACACACACACACACACACAAACATTATCTCTTTAAAATTCTTGGGATTTTGTCTCCAAAAGTCACACTGGGTATTTCTCAGGGAGATCAGTGGTCTGGAATGTGTTAATATGATCCCCATAAGACAAGTGATAAATTGTTGTACTAATTGACTAAGAAAGAGCCACACCATGCTTAATGGAGTTCTTTTGGAAATAACATGTACCTCATTTGGATCTGCTGCTTGAAACTATTGAGCAATTTATCCAGAGGACTGCAAATTTTGAGTGGAGCCCAGAATAGAGGAAGGATCTGGAGTAGGTCTAGGTTACTATGTATGCTGCTTTACCATTTGGACTATATACTACAGTAGAACTAATGGTACTTGAAGTAACTGTGGCAAATAGAGATT